CCCTTTGCACCCCTCGAGGGAAGGGAGGGTGCCGCTCCCTGCAGGCAACGCGGATGCTGAGCCTCCTCAAACAAAGGCGGGGATGAAGCCTTACCTGGCCGAAGCGAGGACCTAGAAGCCTCCTCCGAGGGATCCAGTGCCGATCTTCAAGGGATCGTTTAAGATCTGGGAAGGATTCGGGGGACCAGGCGGAAGAGCAGCGAAGAAGAGAGCAGCTGCGGGGGCGGGGCTTCGGGCCTCCCCTCAGGATCCTCCTCCTCCAGGCAGCCACGCCCCTCGGCAATTAGCTCTTGGGCTGCCTTTCCCCCCCGTGACGATTGGCCAGAAGGGAGAAGATTGGCTCCGCCCCCGAACATCCCAGCGGGATTTTCCTTCGGGGGCGCCTTCTTCATGCAAATGAGGCGAGGCGGAAGGAACGTTCCACTTTGAGCGTTCGAGGTGGGGGGAGTTGTAATCAGCGTACTGCCGCAGAGGTTGCCTCCCCAGCGGGGGCTGAAAGGTGGATTCTTCCTATAAGGGGAGCTTTTCCCCGCCAAGGAGAAACGTAGCCCCGATTTTACATTTCTGCTTGAAAGTTCTGGCTGGATCGTTTGGAAAAATCTGACGGGAGATCAATAAACCACAATAATAAGATAATACGATTCTGTTGTATAATATGATGTTATACATATGAATGACATTGCATGTCAAGTGGTGGTGGTGGTGATCCCTGCTCGACCAATAAGGATTTCCATGAAATTTGGTGTGAACATGCACACAGTCAAGAGTTACTTGTGCTGATGCAATACTTGTGGAGATATAGTCATTTGTTTGATCCCATATTTTTGGCCAATTTTGCTCAAAATTATCTAAATGGAGATAATTTCATGAGATCTGATCTGGTCATGAGATCATATATTGTTTTGTAGAGCTCAAAAAGATGGCCAAGTTTTATTTCTCTCAACAAAATATTGCAGGAGATCTTATGTCTCAAAGTTGTTGAACCTCCAGAATCATACTGTAGTTGAGCCTCTCTGGTGAGGCAGGACATAAAGGATATAAAAGATTGCTTTTAGATGTGTAGAAGAACAAAGAAATGGAAAATGCCAAATCTCAAGTTCACACATGATTAACCACAAACGCACTGCTGGAAACAGGTGCTTTTTTGCAAGACACCTGTGACTTCGATCAACGATAGGGCGGCAAGATATTTAGCTTCTTTAACATAGCAACAGAAGGCTATAAATCATGTAGCCAATCAATGCTAACATGTTACATTTCCGTGTTTTACTGCTTTTGAAGAATATATAACCACTTGCTTTTCCATAAGAGGGGGTTCAGAATGTTGCTTTGGCTATATTGCTCTGAATCTTTGCGCAAATAAAAAGCAACTTCTTTTGATTCCGAGGTCTGAGTCTCATGATTTTCTGCAACAGCGGGAGTTTTAGAACCTAGGTTATAACTTTCAGTTATTATTGTCCACCTCAGAATGGCAAGAAAACTTCTCTATCATTGTCCACCATGCTTTCTCTCAATCTTTTGGATGTACAGAGACTCTCACCGTCATTGGCAGTTTTAAGAAACATTAAAATGTCAGAAGTAATGTAATGAGAGGATTGGATTTTGCCGCACAAAGAAAGAAAAATATTTGAGCCCACTGCTCTGTTTCTTTTAACTCAGGGCCACTTTTCACTGTGTAGCTTATAAACAATTTGTAGGGCCCTCAGTGGGTCCTTTATCCTGGTGACACTTTAATTTTGTTTCATTCCCCCTTAATGAGGGTTCACCCACAAAACTGCGCTCGACTAAACCGCGTCGCTGACATCATCAACAGGGCGACAACAGCGCGGAGACAGACGCGCGCTGTAAACCCTAAACCTAAAATTAACCCCTAAACCTAAACCCAACCCCCCTAAACCTAATCCTAAACCTAACCCTTAACCTAACCCTAAACCCAACCCTAAACCTATCCCTTAACCTAACCCTAAACCCAACCCTAAACCTAACCCTTACCTTAAGTTGAATCGGCTTGCTTTCAAAGCGCTATTTAAAGCGCCCTTCTTTCTCCGCGCTGGCTGTTGTCGTCCTGTTGATGACGTCAGCGACGCGGTTTAATCAGGCGCGGTTTAGTCGAGCGCGGTTTTGACGGGTCACGCTTAATGAGTGAGCGTATTTGAACCCTTCAGGTCTGCAGCCATCATCAAATGTGCCTTTAGATGCCTTCAGAACAGCTTTCCTGTCTGGAAGCTTCAGAGTCACTGGATCACAACTCCCATCAAATCTAGCCGGCAAGACATTATGGGAGTAGAAACCCAGCCTAACTCATATCAGAGCAATTCCATTTAGTGAATGAAAGCAAGTCGCTTTGTGGGGACATACACACACACAAAGACACACACAAGAAACACAACGCTGGCCGCTATATAGAATCTAATTTTATTTTTTACTCGGCAATCCAAAATAATTCTCTTTCTGAGATACAAAAATAATTAGAAGCATTTAGAGCAGTACCCAGGTTCAAAGAACCGGAAGGCAAAGCAGGATTTAAACAGGTCAGTCAAATGAGAGCCAGGAGGCCCCTCTCTGGCCACTTTACCCCAGCTGCTGTCCGCCAGATGTTTGGGTCTTCAATTCCCACATCTGCAGAACACCCGAGTGGGAAAGGCCATTCTGGGGCATAACTGGCCACATTCAGTTGGAACAAATTAGGTGGAGGAGGTGGAGCAGGAGGCCACTTTGTAGAAACCAATGTTGTTGTTTTAACCTTGGCAGCTTTTTAAGATGCATGGACTTCAACTCCCAGAATTCCTGGGCCAGCATGCTGGGAGTTGAAGTCCACCTATCTTAAAGTTGCCAAGGTGGAAAACCTCTGATAGAAACAGATATGTTAGCTGGGATAAATTGTTTGGGAACTGCTGCTCATCCAGGAAAGCAGGTCTGCCTTCATAGCTGTTTCCATTCTGTAGGGTCTTCTTGGTGGCGGCCTCCCACTTCTGGAACCTTCCACAAAAACAGTTGTGAACTGCCACTGCGCTGCTGTTTTTTTCAGGGTGCAGATGGCACGTATGTATCTGTTACATACATATATTACATTTAAGTACCTTGGCCTTTCTAAGGTGCACAAAAGATTGCAGCCCACCCCCACCCCATAATTTATCCTCACAGTCACAAAAAGCGCAATTAAGGCTTAAGAATTGTAATGGCCAAGATCAACTAAGCTATACTCTAAATTATAAATATATCTTTAGGATGAAGAAGAATGTATCTTTCCTCTCCAAATCTTGTCCACGTGTTTCTCAGTCAGCTGCTTTCAAAGAATGTTTCTGAAGCTTTTGCGGGCACGAAATTGAGAAAGGCATATTGAGAGTGTTACCTATGGTCCCTTTTAAGGGTTGATTTATTTTCTTTTTTAACTGTATGATTCAAAATCACTCAGAGAGTTTGGCGGATAGCAGGAAGTGACATACGAAGGCAGGAAGATGAACATTCTGAAAAGCCTTTGTTTCGTGCTGGATTTATCTTGCTTGTAATTCCTAGAAAGAAATTTAAAATCACATTTTATTTTCTGGTTTATCAGTTCTCATAGCAACATATCCAGCCTTTTCCTTCTTTGTTGCCTTCACAACAATCTGGCTAACAGCTGGAAAGAGGAAAAAAAGGAGCTGAAACTCATTTAAAAAGAGCTTGTAAAAGTTAGGAAAGGATTAAAACCAGGATTGGCTACGGTAATAGTCCAACATGCTTAACAGAGCCACGGAAGCAAAATATCTGATGAACAGAAAACTCCGATTTGAAAATATGTAGTTAGAATGTCTCTTAAAAGATGCTGGCTATTTGAATGATCTATAGCAGGGGTGTCAAACTCCCATCGTCATGTGAGGTATCAAGACTCCCCCCCCCTTCGCTAAACTGGGGTGTCCGTGGCCAGCACGTGATGCTTCCTGCCCACAGTCTATGAATTTGACACTCCTGATCTATAGCCATGGACTGAAATATAGTGGGTTGAAAATTGGAATCCTTGTAATTGTCATTTGTATGGGCTCCTTGGTATTCTCTGAGCTTGGCTGTTTTCTTGCAGACATTTTATTACCCAACTTGGTAACATCATCAGTGCTAGAAGAGAGCGAGGTTTGCTCTCTGGTTTTATACTAGTGGCTTGCCCTGACAGTTTTGGCATGAGTGTTCTTGGTGATTCCCTTAAAAAAAAAATGATTTCTGTCTGAGAGAAAAAAGACCGGGGTCTTGGGAGAATCAAAAAAGGAACTTACCCAAACTTAGTGTCTCAGTGTGGGCGATCCATCTCTATACAGTAGTTTGCACAAGAAATAAGTTGCCATCCACACTTATCTGAAAGAGTGGAAATCCAGAGTAAGATTTCTGCTGGTCATGTAACAAAGAGGCTTTAGTTTCAGCAGGAAAAATAAAAATAAAATCTGCCTGATCTCCAGCATTCTGTTCTCCCAAGGAAGCCCACCAATCTCTCAGTGGAGGGCCTTCAGTAGCAGCCACCCAGCCATTAAGACTAATAGCCATTGATCCCCAAGTCTTCCAGAAACTGATCCAACCCTGGTTTTGAAGTCACTAAGTTGGTGGCCGCCTGGCCTTGTCCCTGCAGTTTTTTTTGGCAAGATTTCGGATTGATTTGCCACTGCCTGCTTCCTAGGGCTGAGAGAAAGGGACTGGCTCAGGATTACCTAACTGGCTTGGTGCCAAAGGTAAGACTGGGACTCATGGTCCCCTGCCTTAAAAACCAGGCCTCCAACCTTAGGCGGGAAAGCCAGCTGGGTGACTTTGGGCCGATTACCCTCTCTCAGCCCAACCCACCTCACAAGGTTGTTCCTGTGGGGAGAACAGGAGGAGGAATGTGGATTGTTTATGTTTACCGCCTTTTTTATTTATTGTTTACCGTGTTTTTCAGACTATAAGACGCACCAGAGTATAAGATGCACCAAGATTTTGAAGAGGTAAATTAAAAAAAAAAAAGGTTTTGCACTTTGCAGGCCTCCCAAACCCTCTGCATGCCTAGTTTTTTTTGTGAAAAACAGGGCATACAGAGAGTTTGAGAGGCCTGCAAAGTGCACCTGGGCGCTAGAGGGCAAAAACAAGCAAAAAACGGCTCGTTTTTACAAAAATGGG